TCTGAACTTCTGACCTCTGAGCCACTGTTTCAGCCCTTCTGCTGTAAATCCAATAGTCTCGTTTACTATTTTCATAGTTTTAAGTGAACAACAATAACAGTAACCAGCACCCACTGGGAGCAGGCAAGGTGGCTCAGAGGCTAATGGTGCCTTTAATCCTGATGGCCTGAGTTCAAACACCAGGACCCACATAACAGAGGAACTCATTTCCAAAAGTTGTCCTTAGACCTTCACACACCCCACAAATGTACAAAATATTTTAGCTGCATGTGGTTGTACACACCTTTGATTCTAGTGCTTGGGGGGCAGGGGCAGGGGGATCTCTGGGTTCAAGACTAATGGGTTGACAGAATAAGTTCCAGGACAGTCAGAGCCCCACAAAGAAACCATAGCTCAAGGAAAACAAAGCAAAACAAAAAGGGGAATAATACCAGGGATAAAGACGCGTGCCTTTAAGCCCCAGGACACAAGCAGACAGAACTCTATGAGTTTCTGGTTAGCCTAGATTATATAGCAAAAGTTGCAGGCAGGATTGCAAAGTGAGACAGCCTCAAAAAAATAGAAATGAGGGCTGGAGAGATGGTTTAGTGGTTAAGAGGACCGCCTGCTCTTCCAAAGGTCCCAGCAACCACATGATGCTCATAACCATCTGTAATAAGACCTGGTGCCCTCTCCTGGACTGCTGGTGTATATACAGAGTGGGGGGATAGAGGGCAAGTGAGACAGATGTCCTGATAGGATTGGTCATTCAATAGTCAGTTATCCTCAGGAGTGTCTGCATTACCACGGCCCAATGCAAATGTTCAGAGCACCTTTGGGTATCAATATAATTTTTTAAAATAAATTTTATTTATTTATTATGTATACAGTGCTCTGCCCACATGTATGCCTGCAGGCCAGAAGAAGGCACCAAATCTCATTACAGATGGTTGTGAGCCGCCATGTGGGTGGTGGAAATAAAACTCAGGACCTTTGGAAGAGCAGGCAGAGGTCTTAACCACTGAGCTATCTCCCCAGCCCCAGTATCAACATAATTTTAAGATTTATTCTTATTATGTGGAAGGGTGTGTGTGTGTGTGTGTGTGTGTGTGTGTGTGTATGTGTACAGTGGGTGAGGTATCCAAAGAAATCTAAAGAGATTTTCATATCCCCCAGAGCTAGAATTACAGGCAGTTTGTGAGCTACTGGGCAGTGGATTTTGTTGTTGGGTGGTTTTTTTTGTTTTGGGGTTCTTTTTTTCTTTGTTTTTGAGAGAATGTCTCATAGAGTCCAGGGTTAGTCTCAAGCCCACTACCTAGCTGAGAATGATCTTGAACTTCTGATCTTCTAACCTCTGAACCTAAGGGATAAGATTACTGGCCTATGCCACCACACACAGTTTACGTATTGCTGGGTTTCAAATGTCGGAGGCTGGGTGGTGGAGGTAGAAGCCTTTAATGGCAGCACTTGGGAGACTGAAGTGGCTGTTTTCTGAGTTCAAGGCCAACCTGGTCTACAGAGCAAGTTGCTAGACAGCTAGGGCTACAAAGAGAAACCGTGGTTCAAAAAACCAATAAACAAACAAACAAACAAAAAGCTCAAATGCTGGTCTTCATTTACCCTTGACAAACAGGTTATCAACTGACTACCTGCCCAGTCCCTGAGCTGAGTACCTCAGCGGATTCCTTACACTATCTGGCCAGGAAAGGCTGTAGGTAGTCTGTTTTTTCTGATGAGCCCTCTGGAAAGGACTATTTTCATCTAGAGAGCTGGATAATGGGATGGGGAAGCTGTTAGTGATTCTGCTGGGGGTCCTTGTGGGAATCCAGAGAACCAATGATGGATCAGCAGTCACTGTGTTACCTCTGGTCCCCTGCTCTGCAGGAGGCAGATGAGGAATCAGAAAGGGATGTGGGTTTCCTGAGTCAGCCAGGGAATCTGGAGACAAGAGAACCCAAAGCAGAGTCTAAGGCCAGGAAGACCTGCTCTCAGTCAGAAGGCCAATGACGCAGGCTGAACCTGGAATGTCTGTGGTGTCTGTATGGTGAGGTGGTGGTGAGTCACCGCTTGGGGCTAGAAGAGCCAGCAAAGACCTTGGTGAAAACTCTGCTGTAGTTGAGACAATGTTTAACCGCTGTAGCCCAGGCTAGCCTGGAACTCACTTTATGTCTAGGCTAGCCTCAAACGTGGAATTCTCCTGCCTCAGCCTTCCAAATGCAAGCACTACAGACAGGACTCACCACACCAGCTTTTCTCCACCTCATCTTGAAGTGCTGATTCTTCAGGCGGGGTTCCCTCTCGTGACATATCTTCCATCTTCTCTCTGCTTGGGGTGGGTTTAGGTGACCTCTTTTCTGACGTTGCCTGTGACCTTTGACCCTGCACATCCTGAACTTTTCTGCAGTGAAATAGGGCAAAAGGGGACTATGCTTCCTCCTGAACCCCTCCTCCCAGCTGAAACCACACCAGACTGAGCACCAGGGCTCTACTCCCTGTAGACTGGCATGCTGGGCTGCCACGTGGCTTGGATTTATGGACCTATTTTGCTCAAGACTTGCAAGCCTGTGCTGAGGGAGCCAAGTGTGGCATGCATGCTTAGCAGTTGCAAAGCCCTGGATTTGATCTTCAGCACCACAATTAAAAGGGAAAAAAATTCTCTCAGGTCTCCAATCTCCAGAAACGTCTCAGGATTGGCTTCTCCACTTTACTGCCTCTTAAGGCGCCCTTTTGGGGGCCTGTGGGTATCTCTGTTCTCTACCTTCCCTCTCCTCTTTGCTTTCTGTTGGTCCTGGGAAGAGGAGAAACTTCTAGACTCCAGCCCACCCCTTCCCTTCCCAGAGCCCAGGACACATCATCTTTGATTTGTACCTTTGTGGACAAGGGGATACTTTTGATGGTGGTACAAGCCTGCAAATCCAGTACTTTGGAGACTGAGGCAGGAGGACCACATATTTGAAGCCATCCTGAGATGCAAAACAAGATTCTATCCCCCAAACAAACAAGCTAGATGTAGTGGTTATGTTTGACCCTGAAGTCCAATCACCCAGGAGGAGTCACCCCAAGAAAACACTCTCATAATGCAATTAATGTAAAAGCACGGAAATTTTAATGAATTCGGTTGCAACAGTGTCTCTCAGCATTCAAGAAGCCAGAAAGACCTCGAATAGCTGGTACAGGCTACTTTTAAATCAAAAAGCCACAGAAGCAAGTGGGGAGTCTGGGGGTTGTTTTTCTAACTATTAGGATTGGCTGATTCCAAGGGCTATTAACAATGATTGGTCCGAGCCAGGACTGGAGGGCAGTTGCCAGATCAGGTGAGGTAAGAGGAAACATTTGAGGGTTACCTTGACCCCTTCCAAGGGACTGAGTCAAAACATCAGGAACTGAGTCAACATCTAAGGGTTATCTTGCCCCAATTTCAATAACTGAGTTCTAGCTGGAGAACAGCCACAACATTCTAGTACGTGCATGTGAAGTGTTTAGGTCCTTGGTTCCCAGGGGAGGGGGGAGCGCTAAGGCTGAGAGGCCTCAGAAATGGCCTCAAAGTTGTCAGAAATGGCTTCAGAGTTGGTCTAGAGTTTTACAATTAGTTCCTGTAATGAAGCAAGGTGGAGGGTGAGGCTAGAGGATTAGGATTACTGTAGATTAGGGGCAACTAGCCTGGGCTATATAGTTGCTTTCAGGACAGCCTAGGCTGCAGGGTATGGTTCTTTCGCAAAAAAGCAAACAAAACAAAAAAGACAACAAAGCCAAAATCCTGTGTGTGGTAGTGCGTACCTGTAATCTAACTCTTGGGAAATGGCCGCAAGAAAATCAGAAAGCCAAAACCATTCTCAGCCAGACAGTGAGTTAGTTAGTCTGAGGCCAAGCTGGGCTACCTGAGAACCCCTCAGGCCTGTCTCAAACAAACAAACTGGACATAGTGACACACCACTGTATGGCCAATGCAAGAAAGGTTGAGGCAGGAGAATTACCATAAGTTTGAGGCCAACATGAACGACAGTAACAACAAAACAACAAATCAAGGGACAACTGGCTGCACGGGCTGGCAGAAAGGGAGCTAAGGTACAGTCTCAGAACACATTGACATGACCCTGGGCTCTCGTAGTCTTGGGGACTAACCACAGGGCTTTCCTTCTCTTTGCTTTCACACCAGATTCTAGGGACCAGACAATGGTATCTACTTTTTTCGGATACCCTCCCCCTTCAGACAAGAGTACCA